GAATTATATACTATTAAAAAGTGAATTTTATGTAAAGTATGTCAATTATATCTTAATAAAAAAAAAATTGGCCAGAAATCACAGTGATGTTCACAAGATTTATTCCTGATACCAAAAACAAACAAAATCTTAGGTAATGCTATTTTAAAGAAAAATAGCCCTGTAATAAGATACAGCTGTTTTAATTTTTAAAGACTATGTTCAAAAAAAGACCACAATACAGTATAATGCTTCTAGGTCACAGGGGAGTTGTGTAATTCCATTAATTTCTTTGCTTCAGTCTGACATTTGGCTAGAATGAAATAGTCTTTACCCTTCACACTCCTTGTTCTATCCTAGACAGGGTTCAAAATTTAGAAGTCAGGTAAATAGCAATCCTTGTTCTAAAACCCTGTTCTCCAGCCTGTGAGCCAGAATATGGAGCCATGTAAGATACAATACTCCAGCCTCCAAAGAACACTGATAGAAATTCAAAGCCCCAGCCACCTATTGGAAAATACTCTCAGAAGATGACTCAGACATTGGCTGGAACACTAGAAAAATTAGGGTTTGTGTAAACCAAAAGGTCAGAGGAAACAGACACACAGAACAGGGAAAACAGCTTCACAGTGATAATCTTGGGGGGAACAAATTTGTGTCTCAATTTTGTAACTGTTTCTAAACCATCATGATTAGGAGTTTTCCTTAGACCTCAGAAGACAGCCTTGAAAAATACATATGTAATTTTAATCTTTCTGAGATTGCTTACAGTTGGAGAGGACCTGGAGTTATGAGTACATCCAGTAACAACAGGAAGATAGGAGAGGCAGAGGTTGGGGAATTCCGGCAGAGGCTTGTTTGTTAGAAAGGTTTTCAGCCTATGCTGGGTAAAAACTCATTTTCATATTAAGACTCAGGAACCAGACTACCTGGACTAAAATCCTTGTTCTGTCATTTACTGGGTGACATTGGGCAAGTCAGTTTTCTTATATGTGAAATGAGAAAAACAATACTTTATATAGTTTGAGATGCTATATACATAATACTATTATAAGAAATTGAAAAATGAATAACAATGAAAATAAACTGTTTGTATGTTATATTTTATATCTGTGTTCATATTCACACAATGTGCATCTGGTCATACACACTTAAATGCACATGGTACTAGTAAAAGAATCAAATGAAAGGAATTTGAGAGATTTTATTAATTTGTCCCCACTAAGTCATGCATACATTCTTCCCAGCTCAGACACTTAAGTACAACATGTTGTTTGATAGACATGGAGATAAAGAACATATGTAGATTGTGAAAAAATTCAAGTCTTACTGAGAAACCACCTGAATTCCAGTATAATTGTTGATTGCTGAGAAAAACAGCCCTGATTATGATGAAACCTCTAGCAGACCAAATTCTGACTTGCAATGATGGCTTAAGGTCAGACATCCCTGTACCTCAGCCTTAACCCGCCTCTTTCCTCCACTTTTATTATGTGTGAATATTTTCATTGTCAAAATAGCTAGATTATTTGGCTATCAAATTTTGAAATTACAGTGTAATATATATTTATATTTCCCTGGGAAACTGTGGAAATAAAATAAATTACAATATAATAATCTATATATATATATATTTTTGAGACAAAGTCTCATTTTGTTGCCCTCGGTAGAGTACTGTGGCATCACAGCTCACAGCAACCTCAAACCCTAGGGTTCAAGCAATTCTTCTGCCTCAGCCTCCTAAGCAGCTGGGACTACAGGTACCTGCCAGAAGGCCCAGCTATTTTTAGAGATGCAGTCTTACTCTGGCTAAGGCTGGTCTTGAACTTGAGAGCTCAGGCGATCCACCCACTTGGGCCTCCTAGAGTGCTAGGATTACAAGTGTGAGCCACCATGCCTTATATTCACATTTTCTTAAAGAGGGATAAAAATATCCAGTTAACAGTAGAGAAAGAAAATGAACATGAATAGTGTAATTCTATTTTTAAGCTGAATTTTCTAATTTAGAGGGAGATTATGAATACAAATAATGGCCACGTTGTCTTAACTCTATTCACTCCATCCTTTTCTGCAGCTAAAATTAGAAAGAAGGTGAAGTGTACTGTCATTCTCTAAGGTTGCAACTTGTAGAGAGAAGAAGTATTTTCTAAAACTCTATCCTAGGCACAGTTCGATGATTAGTTCAGTAGTTAGTTACTTTTCCTTTTCTTGGCTCATACAAATATTTCAATTTGAGCTTCAATTTCCTCTTTTCTGAGGTGTTAGTGGGTACTCAAGTATCTATTAACTTGTAATATTACATATTACAAAATAATATTACAGATAATATTGACACAGTATTTGGCATATAGTAAGTTTAAAGATACTAGCTATAAATAATATATTCCAAATTCATGTAAGTTACACTATAATTATGCTCCTTTTCTAAACTAATAATTTTTGCTCTTATGTCTAAGAGAACCCAATGGGGCCAAGATTGGTGGCTCACATCTGTGATCCTAGCACTCTGGAAGGCTGAGGCAAGTGGGTCCCTTGAACTCAGGAGTTCCAAATCAGCCTGAACAAGAGCAAGATCCCCATCTCTACTAAAACTAGAAAAGTAGCTCATCATCATGGGGGGCATCTGTAGTCCAAGTTACTCAGGAGGCTGAGACAGGAGGATTACTGAGCCCAGAGTAGAGTTTAAAGTTGCTGTGAGCTACGCTGAGGTCATGGTCCTCTAGCCGGGGCAACAGGGTAGGACACTGTCAAAAACAAACAAACAAAAAAACAAATGAAATACCAGTGGCTTCATGGTTTATATTTATGTTTAATATGACCATTTATTTCTTCTTGAATTCCAATGCATTTGTTGCTGAAACTAGACTTTACTATAGCTGGTCAACATCTTTGCATAAAACAGAAGAATTTGATATTCAGTTCATTATTTATGATTAAGGAATCAGCAGCCTACAGAGCTGAATGGTAATTCTAGAAATGGCCTTCCAAGCAAATGCACTGACAGAGAAGTACCTACATATTAAGACTATTCTCAAATAGTAATTTGTTTCCATAGTACCTAAGTAAAAACAGACAGAATTTCCAATTTGTTTCCAAGAACAGAAAAACATCAAGTAGTTAAGAATTTCAGGTTTGGGTAAGGAAAATGACATTAAATATTAAAAGTTGGTTTAAAATTTGTTTTTCCTTATTCAGTTAATAAGGGACATTCTTAAGCTATACTCTGATTTCACATAAATATTGATATTTATTTGGCTTACAAGACTGATGATGCAAATTTCTAAAATCTAAAATGTCATTTTTGTGTGGTTTAGGAGTGAAAATATTATAATAAAAGAGAAAATACCTTCTTAATAAAGATTAACTTAGGGGAAAGAGTCCAAAAAGACATCAAGATGTGAATTCTATATGATCATAAATAAGAAGGAAATTGTCCCAATTTCCTAACCAGGAAATTATTCTCTCATTTGTTTTAATATATTTTTTTGAACTTCTAAGTACTTGGCACTAAGCTATATGCACCAGGGACAATAATGTGATAATTAACTGCCTTCACGAAGCTTAGAATCTAGCAAGGGAAGGACACTGAGCCATCAGTAGTTATAACACAAGGTAGAAAGCATTTCATTAGCAGGAATATAGGAGGGGATGCTGTGAGACCATCATGGGAAGGAGGTCATGGGACAAGAAAAAGCTGAAGAGAGCGACAAAAGAGACTTCTCAGAAAAAGCAAAAACAATTTTAATTTTAATAAAGTATCTGCCCTTCTGAAATCAAACATATTGAATACTTTATGCAATACACTGAAAGTGTGTCTTGTTCTTTAAAATATCATTTGTCAAAATGATTCTGAGGCTCACGCATGATCACAAGATACGTGGAATTCGGCATATTAACATGACATAATTATTCTGTACTCTATACAGTGAGTTATTAATAGGACACCGTAAGTCACACAGATTACACGAGTTAACATGGGCTAAAGTGTCCTTGGTTTGGGGGTGTTTTTCCCCACTAGCTGAAGTGAGCTTCCTTTTAACACTGTACTATACTTTGGTGTCAATAGCTTTGAAAGATAGACACTGAAAGTTAAAAATGAGTTACTGTATTTGGCACTGCTGTATGGAAAAGACAGTGTGAGTTTCTATATACTATAAGCTGGAAAAGCTGGAAATGCCTTTTGAATTACATGTTTATGCCAAAAAGTTGGACAAACACTGATCAGTCTGTAAAGAATGGAAAAATCTCTTGACCACCAATTCAAATGAATATAATTCAACTGTTTGCAGCATACTAACTTACTTACATTGAGACGCTTTGGTTGTCAGGTACTAAAATAGTTTTAAAATTAGAGAACTGCTTTCTCTCTTAAGTCTCGTGGGTGGCCCAGTTCCCCATGATATTCACAGCTGAGCAAACATTATTGATACATTTTTAATCTTAATTTAAATAATAATCAATTGGAGCCAAGTAAAAGGCAAATCCCATCTGAATGTCCTTTGGCTCCACATCCTGATCCTGAATGCTGCTTTTGCATACTGTCACCTCTGCAAGAGTATGCTCAGATGCCTATCATAAAATGAGGATGGCCCAATCTATTGACAATCTAAACTAGTAAGGACTGCCCAATCTAATGAGAGCATCAGGTGGCTAGTGCTTCTGAATCAGTTAGTAGCAATACTTTGAAGAAATTTCATTCCAATAAATATGGTATAAAAGTCTTTATAAGTTCATGAAAAGCACTTCAAGGATATCTTGTCAAAACTATCACTACAAGATGCCAAAACATGTATATTTTGTTCCAAATGTAATTATGACACAAAAGCAGGATAAAGCAAGACAAGAAAACCCTGGTCTTTCTCAAATGATTTCAACCCCATTCCTTAGGAGAATGGGTGATAAAAGTCTGCTGTAGGCTGTGCTTATTTTTAAACATCTGAGACCGTATTCTACAGCAGTTTTAGACTTTTTCGTTGTCATCACTGTTAATTTTTTTAAATGCAACTGGGCTTGCTTGCTTCAAAGAAGTCTTAGAAACATCTGTGTGCATGGTGGACATGGCTATTGTCTCATAGTCATCGTCCCGAGACCGGAAATCACAGAAGTTGAAGAAGAAATGTAGGTCTCTCTGGAAGTTTTTGTTCAGAAAGCCATAAAATATGGGGTTGACACAGGTGGATATCATAGCTGTCAGGTGGCAGAGCAGGAATAACAGATTGTGGTTACACGTAGCAATGATCTGATGATTCCAATCAAATACGGTGTTGAAGATGGTAAGAGGGAGCCAGCAAACCGCGAAGGCTACCACGATGGAGAGCAGCATGATGTTGATTCTTTTGGTCTCACTGGACCTGTACTTACTGTCTCTCATCCTGTCCATCATGTTGTTTCTCCTTTTTAAGCGTATATATATCTATGGAAGAAAAAAAAATGAGTTCAAATGGAACCACTCAATTAATGAGGAATTCTGCAGAAAGAAGGTAAAAATAGAAATTATGGGGGAAAGAAATTGTCTTACCTTGAAGTAGCAAATAAATATAAAACAGAGTGGACCAAAATACTGCAGCACCAAGAGCAGTGTGGTATAAGACAACCTGTGAGAGTCCGACGGGAATTTATCAAAGCACACGTACTTGTCCTTGAACGCGTCAAGTGTCACATTTTGGAACGGTTCGTCAGTCAATTCTTGGTAGATGAGGAAAGGCAGAGAAGAAGCCACAGCAAGGACCCAGATCACAGCAATACCTATGTAGGCATGTCTATTATTTGGTCGCCACCCTCGTGGGTTGATTATCAGCTGATGTCGTTCCACAGCAATGAGAACCAGAGAGAAAATGGACACAGTGATTGAAACACATTGCACAAAAGGATTCAACTTGCACATTGCCTCACCAAAGACCCAGTGGTCCATTAAGGTGTAGACAAATGTGAAGGGGAGACACATGATGGCGACAAGCAGGTCTGAGAAGGAAAGGTTCACAATCAGGATGTTGGTGACATTTCTCATCTCCTTTTGTTTCAAGATGATTATGATCAAGGCCAGGTTTCCAGAGACACCAAGAATGATCACAGCTCCGTAAGCAAGAGCTAATGTAAATATCATGGCCAAGGGCAGATGACAATCCTCAGTTTCAAAAGCCAAAAACTGGGAATTCTTCTCTGAAAAATTATAGTGGACTGAATGATTTTCAATCTGGGAAAATAATGTTGAATTCATTTTGATTGGTTTGGTTGTTACAGATTATTTTAGGTAAATGGAAATTACGTTTCTTCACAGCAGGTCAACTGTTCAGGTTATTCTTATTCCCCATATTGGAATCCACTTAACCAAAATTATTCTCAATTCTTCATTACCTTGAACTGAACAATCTGTAAAGAGAAAATGACCAATTGCATTACGAATCTTATTGAGGGCAGTCAAAATGAATTCTGACTCAGAACTCTTTAAACTGAAAACACTGAAATAAATAAACAAAAGCTGATCTTGTAAACATCTTCTTAATAGCAGAAACAAGGCAAACATTCTAAATAAAGAAAAATATCTGTGAAATTTTTAATAGGACTTGCTTACGCATTGAGTTTTAGAAGAACATAGTAAGGAATATGTAAACCTCATGCCAAGTCTTATATAAACAGTACTATAAACACATTCCTAGGGCGGCACCTGTGGCTCAAGGAGTAGGGCGCTGGCCCCACATACCGGAGGTGGCGGGTTCACACCTGGACTTGGCCAAAAACTGAAAAAATAAAATAAAATAAACACATTCCTAAACATTGTAAGAATGTGAATGTATAATAAACCACTTAATGCACATATTAAAACATAAGAAAATGTATGAAAGAAACAAAGCAAAACAAAAACACCTAATTATTTCTTATACCTAATTCTTCCACGGAAATGGAAGAATTAGTGTAGAGGTCAAGCTGTAGTAACACTCCATCATACGCTGGACTGTGTTCTAAGGCAGACATTCAGCACGAACACATTGAAAAGGAGATGGCAATACAGCAAGACGTCAAAAATGTATGCCCTATGTGGAACTGCTGGATGACCAGATGCTTAATCAAAAAAATACTTAGTATGGACGGATGGGATAGATGTCTTCTCAGATTTTAATGGGCGGCATGTAGAATGAAGAGCACTGGGCTTAGACTACTATGTCTAACTATATGAACAAGTTAAAAGTAGGACCGAGGGGGACACATTATGTTTTTTTTTTAATCAAATTATTATAAGGAACAAAAGTTTAATCAAGTGAAATGAACTGCCTGCAAATTTAGCAAGTGCTTAATCAAGAAAAGTCATAAGCACTATAAGAAAGACCACTTCTATGGAGTACTTACTCTGGGCAGAGGATTCTAACCTTAAGATACTTGATTCTATTAATGTGTCAGAGACTCTCAGAGGATTTCTAAGGTTTTATTCATGTAAATCTCCTCCTTCCTCACAGGCCATACATATATATCATATGGATCTAGATTTTAGTTGTATCCATAATACATGGATCTAGATTTTAGTTGTAATTTTGATTTTTCACAGAATTTTGTGTTATAAATATTTTTCTCTTGCTCATAAGACAAAATCACAGACAACAGACTTGTAGAGATTTAAAAAGCCCTTTTTAAAAAGTCTCTGGTTCCCCCTAGAATACTAAATAAATAGATGAGATTTCTTATGTTAATTTACAGGCCATTGTGCCTGAGTTAAGAGACTATATTGCCTTTGCTTCTTTCTTTTATGAGAATAAAGAAAATTTGCAATGATGTACTTGCACTGCAAGCAAAATAACAGATATAATGAACCCCCAAATATGCTTGCCTTTTAAGTAATGCTTCTAATGAATCTTTCCTTTAGTGTTTTTGCTTTCTAAAACATGGGATATTTTTTATTATAAAAATATGATTTGGCCTTGTAAAACTGAGGAGGAATAAAAATATCTATCATGAAGTCAGAATAAAAGTACTGAGAATGGTAAAGGAACGATTTCACCTGTGAATGTGATCAGAAACATGGCACTCTCTTCCTCTATGCAATAACCTATAATGACTCCCTAATCCTATTGTGAAAATCTTACTTCTCTCAAGAATTCTAAAGGCAGAGAGAATGATCACTGATAGTCACTTGTGGTTTGAGAACGAATCTTGAAGAAGCAGATAATAACCTGAAATTCTTTGGAAATCTAACTTTCTTAAGAATTTGAGAAAACCGTACATTGTACTTCACATTTAAGTTACCGTGGAGATATTTAATGTTATTGATCAGTTGACGATGAGTTTTTCTTCACTACCGAAAGTAAAACTAGCACAGCAGGAAAGAGCGTCCTCTTTACCCTATAGCTTCTCATGGTTCCCTATCCCCAAGTACTACCAGGTGAAGGAAGATCTTGGTATGAGATAGATTACTGAGTGCATTTCCCAGCCTGACTCTTGAAGACCTTTATGTTATGCCTCCTTTCCACTCTTTGCTCCAATGACTCCAGAGTGAATGTTCTATTCAGGGCAAGCCAGTCTGTTCACACTCTGCCCAACACAGCCCTCTCCATCTCCACCCCTGCCAGTCCTCTTCCTGGGTGTTCCCTTTTCTCTCACCACCAATTGAAATGCTACTCATCTTTCAAGACACCATTTAGCCCTTTGAATTTGTGATTGGAGCCTCTCATTTTTAATATAATGTCTTTACAGGTGGACATTGTGTATACTTTATAATACCTTGAAGATATTAGATTTAGAATAAAAATGTGTTGACTGATATAGTAGATGCATGGTGAGAATTATCATAGTCCTTTTATGTTAAGTTAATTTATTGTTAATTTTTTTTTTAGAGACACAGTCTCACTTTATCACCCTCGTTAGAGTGCCATGGCATCACAGCTCACAATAACCTCCAACTCCTGGACTTAGGAGATTCTCTTGCCTCAGCCTCCTAGCTGGGACTATAGGGACCAGACACAATGCCCGACTATTTTTTTGCAGTTTGGCCGGGGTCAGGTTTGAACCCACCACCCTTGGTATACAGGGCTGGCGCCCTACCCATTGAGCCACAGGCGCTGCCCCCAAAAGAAGTTAATTATAATTATCATTCTATTAGTTCAGGTATATAGTAGAAGATGTTATATTTTATGTAAAGCAACAGGGAATTGTTCCTAAAAAGAGCATTCATTCAACACTTTTAACAATTTACTTAACACTTACTTTGTGGTAGGCATGATTTTAGTGGAAAGAATGGGACCTTTTCACTGATTTTCTAGTTCAAAGAAGGTTAAGAAAAGATAAATTAGTAAAAGATATATAATGCTCATAGACAATAAGGGTAATGGAGAAAAAAAAAAACACAGGGAAGAGGGACTGGGATTGTTGGGAGTTGTAGTTTATTACAGGGTGATGAGAGGAGGCCTCGCACTTCCTGGGAAGATGGCATGTGAGTCCAGACCCGAGAGTAGTGAGTAGGGGGGTGAGTATGTCATGGAAAGAACAAATATAAAACCCTAAGGCTGGAGGGTATCTAGTATGCTAAACAGCAATGAGAAGTAGGATAACTAAGCAGGAGACTAATAGGAGATAGATTGGGAAGGCTAAAGAGAGGGGCCAGACTGTGCAGGGCCTTGTTCTAACGGGATGATCTTTGCTTTTCACTCTGAGAGAGACGGGGAGTCGATGTAGTCTTTTGTTTAAAAATTACTATTCTAGCTGCTGTTTTCAACATCTTTAAGGGAAAGAGAAAAAGTAGGAAGATTCACTAGGAGGCTAGTGCAATAATCCAGGTGAAAGATACCAGGGGCACAGACCCAGGTGTTTGTCATGGAAAGAAAGAAAAATAGAAATTTCATGTCCACTGAATGACTTTGGCAAAAACTGATACATACAGGAATCCTTGGACACACTAAATTACTGCACTATGTGGGCTAGGAAGACAGCTTTCTGGCAGAGGAGTTTGGGTAAACATACCAAAACTCTACTCTGTTACCCTTGAGGAATGGCATTTTTTCTACTGAGTTAACTTAGGTACTGAGAAAATGCAAATTTTTTTTTATTTTTACTTCTTTGGAGTTTGCAAGTTGCTTTTACTACATGCACATTCAGTAATCCTTCCAGTTGGGAAAAACAGTTTTGCACTGGACAAAATGTGTAGTTTCAATTTATCTTAGCATAATTTCAAGAAATAACTGTCAGAAAATAACAGTACTAAGAGTTTGTACACGTTATCTTTGCAAAAGAAAATCATTTGATACCTACTATTCAGCCTGGTATTTGTAAAATAAGCTATGCAACTACAGACACTATAAAAACTAAAAACTGTTACATCTTGGTATAGCTATCATGTGCGTTTACAGCCCAAACAGAGGCACATACTACATGATTACCAGTTGATAAATTAACCCCCTTGCAGAAGCAAATTTTCTTTTCCTCTTTTCCAATGAGAATGTTTGGCTTTTCCCTGTTTGCTGTTCTCAGTGCTGTTGCTACCAGAAAATACAGCTCTCTGGTCATAACCTGCTGCAGAGAAATTTTTCCCAATATTCAAGACTGTTTGTTCACCTCCCTTGTTTTGGGAAAGCAATGTCAGCCTTGTCACATACAGCCTCTCAAAGTTACTGCTAGGTTATCTAAATGAGTTATATAATCCCCTGTTCCTTCCCACGGGGGAGGGCATGTTCAACAGACAGCTGCCTTAGACAATAAGGAAAGACGAATAAAGCAGGAACCGCTGAGAAGCACTCGGTCTTTAGCCCTGGGGGGTGAGCCAGCCGGCTTTCGGCTTCTCTCTTGCTTCATCAGGGAACCAGCCCAGGGTCTCGGGACTGATGGCTACAGTTTTTCTGTTCCAGTCCTGACATAGACAAGCAGACTCCGCACTTTCCCCTGTGTGTGCCGCCCAAGTTACCTTTCTCATAGCATCCAGGTGGGCAAGACAGATCAGTGAATGCTTATCTATATGCCCGCGTGAGTGTGTGTGTGTGTGTGGAAATCAAAACACACTCCCCTTTTCTTTCTTCCCCTGGGTTTCGCCTGTGCTGGAGGACTTACCAAATAATGAAATGGCAATTTCAGTCAAAATTCCTGCAGGCAAGCTTACCCACATACCTTTTTCATATTTTATAAGTAGGTGAATTGCCCGAGATGTCCCCCATTCCTGTCCCCCACCACACACACACACACACACACACACATATCCCTCTCATCAGGGAACATCTCTACCCGTGGTAAAAGAATATGACAAAACACATCCAAACCAACCCCAAACAAAGCCCAAACCCAAACTCAAGTCTCTCTCCGTGGTCCAGCATCAGTCCTTAAATCATTCTCATCTTTCCAGTCTACTTGGGGGCTAAAGAGACCTTCCTAAGCCACCTCCACCTCCTGTCTCTCCC